GCAGGTGCAAGCTTTGATCCCATACTACCTCCATCAACTTGATCATAAATCACATTATTAAGTCATAGCAGGTGCAAGCTTTGATCCCATACTACCCCCATCAACTTGATCATAAATCACATTATTAAGTCATAGCAGGTGCAAGCTTTGATCCCATACTACCTCCATCAACTTGATCATAAATCAAACAAAACAAAAAATGATTTCTTTATCTGCAAAATACGTCAGTTTAAAAAAAAAAGCTTTGACAACCCATTCATTATATCCGAGAGTGGGAAAAACTTAATACATAAATCAATTTTCTTGCAGTGAAATGTTAAAGTAAAAATACACTGAATGTGGCTGTATATACATTATTGCCATGCTTCTCTTTAAGTTCACTACTTGTTATTCTTGATTAAAAAACCTAATCCTGTGATTATCATGTGTCAACAAATGAAACTAGACTATTGGTTGTAGAGGAATGTCTGGCAAACTATGTACTATTCCAATATCATCTTTTTCATAGACAATCTGTTACAATTCTTTCTCTCTCTCTTTAACTGTAACAAATAGTTTTAAAACTACTTCCCATGCAAGTGTTGGATCTTTGTTTACTTTCACAAATTTTCTGCTATCCTCTAACATATGGTTAACTTTTGTATAAAATTACTATTTTACATCTTCTGCCTGGCTTTGTTACAACTGAGTTACCATGGTTCCCAGATTAATAAAAGCTTTATATTCTTCTTGAGATAAGTTATTATAAGTTTCCTTTCCAATTCTAATTATAAAATGTAGACAAAACTAATGATCTTATTTTATAGAAAGGGTTAAACAAACACTAATCTGTTATTCTGTAGCTACATAACTTAAGACCTGACAGAAAATACAAACTCAAATTTTATGAAAATAACACACCAAAACAGATTTTGTTTGTAGAGTAAACCTTTAAAACTGCATTAAATAAATAATAAAAAAAAATCAAAGTTATAGTTCTGCTCACCTGATCTGGACTCCTGAGTACAGGTGATTATAAATGTCGTTGTCTTCAAGACGACCGTGTCCGTTGTCATAGAAGTAAACTCCTACCTGTATAAAGACATCTTTCATGAACATGTTTATTATTAAGATAAAAAATACCTAATAACAAGTTCAACATTGCCATTCAGCTGTCACAGATAAACTAGTCTAAGAATATGAGTTAAAACTGGATAAATAATCTGTAATAAATTTACAAGCAGACAAACTATACAAACAAAAATGTTACATTGGAGATAAGGAAAATTCACATGTATTTATAGTTAATTAATTATCAAAGGTCAGTTAATTTTCAGTTTTGCCCCTACCTGTTTACCACTGTGAATACGGTTACGACGAAGAACTGGGGTGCTGCCTGTAGTGATCCACACTCCCGCCAGAGTGTTAGCATAAACCTCGTTTTCTTCAATCAAACCTTGTCCCTTTTCATGCTGCAAAAGTTATTTTAACATTTCTGATTAAAAAAGAAAACTACTAATGCAAAAAATGTTCAGACTAAGAGTTGACATATCCAATTAAAGAATAAGGGACTTAAACCGATGTAGTTAATCAACCATTAATCTAAAAGCTTTTTCTTTTACTTGTTTTATGATCCGATTCCAATCATACTACTACTTAAGTACAAGTTGATATGAGAGACAGTGTTGGTACTTGGTCTTACCACGTAGATTCCACCGTGTTGACCATGATGGATCTTGTTGTACCTGACAATTGGATCACTGTTGGTGCGGATTTGGATGCCTGCAAGTGCATTACCTGAAATAAAAAGTAATCTTTTAATCTTGTTCATAATAAATTCACAAAATGTTTGTTAAGAATATGGAAATTAAAAACATTAAAAACAGATTAATGATAATACAATATAAACACAAACATTTTTGTCAGAAATAATAAACAATTTGATATTTTGTTTTAAATGCTCACTATACTATCGCTCTTAAATAACCCGATTACTGTAGCATTAAACCTACTGAAACGAGTCTTCCTACGTTTACAGGTCAAAGGCTATGTCATCGCATTTGTTGAATTATATTCAAAATTTTATTGAACTACTAGTTTATGAATGTATGTCAATAAGTTTGGTATCAAATTGTAGATTATAATCCAAATTTTAGTATTATAGATTTGTTAATTTCTTAATTCAAAAGTAAATATTAAAAAAATACATCTAAATATTGATTTTTACAGTATTGGTTCAAATTAGATGTTTGTGATGTCCAAATATTAAGCCTATAGTTTCTTACGAATTAGAAACTCAAATTACCAATATTGACAAGCTAGAACATAAAATAAGAATTTTCTGTGTTTTCTCTTTGCTGATATACAATTATATTTATTGAATCACACACAGTGGCCAGTGAAAAATCAATCAAAAGCTTGGAATGTTCCCCATGTGGTTTATTGAGCCTCTGTAAAGTACTTATATAGGAAACCTTTTCTTTCTATGATAGATTCCAAGTGGTCAGGCAAGACATTTATTGATCTCAAAAAACCATATTTTTTTTTAAGACCCAAATACAGCTTAGTTAATAATCCTGATAAATTATAGTGGAATACTGTGGTATTCATATAGTAATTTATGATTTTTTGTTTCAAAATGCATATATAAAATCTAAAAAAAAATATTTTGTTTTACATTCTTCACATGCAAAATCTGATAAGGCTTAGCAAATTATGGCAAGCAGAAAACAAGTACAAAGTTTGTAACTAGAAGAGATAATTGTTTTCTACACTTCTTTATTTATAGTTCAATGATTTATAAAATAAATAAATGAAATTTAAGAACTTGTTTGTAAATAGTAATAATGTAATATAACCAAAATGTCACTGTATTTTACAAAATACTGGTCCACTAGAACACAGCCAAGACAAGTCACTTTGTAAAGGCTAGTTTTATATTATTGGATATGGTAACATGAGTGCATGTGTGCCGCCACATCATTCAACTTCTGTAATGTTAAGTGAGACACTGCTGAAAGGTCAACAGAATAAAATTAATAAATTTTTTTTATATGTATAATGTTATAAGATTTAAGCTATTTAGGCTAAACACTTGTGGTTTTGTGTTATAATTTGTAGCTATTCTAGAACAAAAAAAATCATAGTTTATATCTACTTCCAAATATTTTTATGATGGTTACAAGGTTGGTCGAATCGACCAAACCCATACAGAGATACAATAGTGAAAATAACAGATAAAATATAAAAATTGTTTCTAAAAAAAAAGTTTGTGAAAATTTTCTAATGCATCAAATCATTTAATCTTAAATCAAATTTTTAATCTGAAAATGAAAATTATTTTGCATGTTGAATATTCAACAATCGAGAACAAAAATGTAAGAGCAAATCATTACTTAAAAAATCTTTAAACTTAATAAAAAATTGATATTTTGTGTAAAAAAAGAACCTTGTAATGTTTACTGATAATCTGCAACACTCTGTGAAGATATGCTTTCTGTATTAATAGTTATAGTTTGAAAATTATATCAAGCACAAAATGGTTATGAGGTCTGTCCCTGAGACCGAGTCCATAGTGAGAGAGTTAAACAAATTATGTTCCCATTTTCAAGCCCGCATTTCTAAACCACAAGGCTACAGCAATATAATTTAGTACTAGGCCTCAGTCTCTAAAACGTTGGGCAATACTTTTATACTAATTTCATATGTACTTTGACACATTATTTTAGAAATTTAATTAGCTTAACATCCTATAACATTCCCATTAAAGCCCTGAAAAAAATTCAAAAACTAAGTAGTGTTAAGTGTTTAACACTGTGAAGTAAATATAATGAAGCATTTGACTCAACTTTCAATCACTTTTAAGATCTATACTTAAATATGTTTCATCTGAGCACTGTTTCTTTGAAGTAATTTATATTAACCTTTGATCAAAGCAAGCTATCCACTTATATGAAAATCAAGTTTTCATTAATCAAATAAAAAAATGGTAGGCAGATAGTGTTTTGCATTAAATATTTCAAATAGAAATCTTTTTGAAATGTTAACGTTTCATTAAATTTCTTGACAGTCATGTAATACAGCTTACCATGGATATTATTGTGTTCTATAAGGCCTCTTCCTTCACCAAATATGTATACCCCACCTTGAAGCCCATTATATATTTCATTGCGTCTGAAAAAAAATAGACATTTCTTAGTATTAGATAAAAAGAACATCATATAAACTTTAATGTATTTTCCATTACCTTTATTTTACTGGTACGTCAATACCTTGTATAATTATATTGTTATGTGCATTTTAACTCATCATTAATTTCATCTGTTGCTAGTGGCTACTATTGTTTTGCCACTGAATCTTATGTTAGTTATACATGGATAAAGGTGTTATATGAGACTATACGAGTATGGTTGACTTTTCATATATCTGCAAAACATAACTGTCTAGCAGATAACAAATCTCACCTGATTGTTGGATTACTGTGGGAGGTGATCCAAACTCCAGCAAAATTGTTGGAGTGTATTTTGTTTTCGATAAACTGACCCCTTCCATTCTCATGAACGTAAATGCCACCTGTTTGACCATGGTGAATCTCACACCTTACAACTGTTGGATTGGCCCCAGCTTTAACCTCAAATCCAGCAATTCTATTGTTGTGAATATCATTGGCTTCAAAGTAACCCTAAGAAATAAAGAGGAAACGTTTAACGGTTTTGATAACCATTTCTTTTTTTCTTTTACAATTACATTCACATACGACTTTACTAATATCGAGCAGTTTAAATATTCCTAAACTGTTACTCTAGAGAAAGTACATTATTAATGCTATTTTGATTGAATGCATTTCTTGGATATCATTTTTATTTTCCCCTTTAAGACCTTAATCCCAAGTTTTGTAGTTGGCCAGTATTTTTTTAAACCAAGAATTGTTACCCTTGGTTGGCTGGTCAATTCTGCAACCATATAGGACAAGCATGTTCACTGACAGGTATTCAAACTGAATTGTAAGTCAAGTGCCCTAACCACCAGACAGTGCCAGGCCTATTTCTTGGATATTACTGGTGTGCTTAAATGAAGAAATTTACAAAACAATTACATGATTAACAGACATACATATGACCAATACACGCATAAGTAAGTGGAACAGAACTAAAATGACACTTACCAGTCCATTATCAAAAGTAAAAACACCAACATCTCGACCATGATGGATGTGATTTCTTCTCATGATGGGGTTGGCGTGGTTTTTAACCCATACACCTGCTAAAGCATTGTGACTAATCTCATTCTCTTCATAAATCCCCTGTTACAGAAAGGAAATACTCTATTTAATACATGGTAGTTTTCAATCACATTTAAACTGTTAATATTTAATAACATTATTTC